AAGTAATTAGCTGGTGACTGGTGAAAATTTACCCCTTGTGCTCTTGAAGGAAAGCATCTGAAATAGAAAGTTCCACCTTCTGAGCAACGGAGTCAAGATCATCCAAGGCCTGTTTAACACAGCCCTTGCCTGAGAATTTTTTGTTCAGTTTGTGTTTTAAAGGGATTTTAAATAAGCATACAGTGTATCAGCAACAGAGGTTATCTGTTTCCCTTAAGGTATTAGATATTTTTATCTAACCTTACACGGGGTAGAGTGGTAGGGATTGCCAGGTCCTGCAGTAGGACAGAAGTTCACTAAATAAATTCTTTATGCCAGATTGTTGATTCTTGGATCTCCCCCGCCCCCAAGATTCATGATCCTGACACAGAACCCAAGAATGCCTGTGCTAGCATCCTCGTGTGACCCTGACACATATTCTGTCATAGAAGATCACCTTTCACTCAGTCTTTCTGATTGCTTGACAGATACAGAGAGATTCAGAGTAGATTATGGCCAAGTGCTAAGGGAGTGTTTTGGTTATTTTTGTTTGGTTGTTTGGTTGTTTGTTTGTTGTTTGGTTTGGTTTGGTTTTGCCCAATGTCTTCCATTCTTAACACATCCACAGTTCCTTCACAAACCCCTATCAGGCCTTTCATCTGATCTATACTAAAGATTCATGGAAGAAGCTAAGGCCTATGAAAACAACAGATTTGGGACTAGGAGGCTGTTTTAGTGGGCAAAGATGCCTACTACCAAGTCTGACAAGCTGAGTTAAATTCCTGGAATACACAATAGGAGAGAACTGAATCCAGAAAGTTATCTTCTGACCACCATACATGCACATGTGCACACTATAAATAATTCAAATAAATAAGAACTTGTAATGAATTTTAATAAAAGAAAGCTGGATTTGGTTGTACTAAATATAGTTAATAATGTTCCTTAACCATGTGGTCAATCCTAAGCCAAGGGACGGTGACCTTTAGCTTTCTTCTCTGTTCTCATTTGTCTCTGGTCTGCCTTGTGTCCCTCATCTGTCTTTTTCCTCTGCTGCTGTCTTATGTTCTCTCCCATTTTCCTCCCTTGGCCTTTTCCCTCTTTCCTTTTGTTGCTGCTTTTCTCCTGCCTCTCTCTGCCAAACTCTTCTCCTTCCCCTCTCTAGCTATCTCTTCTCATTTCTTTCTCCTTCTCTGATTCAATTTTTGCTTGACTGGGATTAAATGATTAAAACGGCAACAGTATGTAAATACATGCCTATTAATAATAATCATGCTCAATAGAAATTTCTGATTTCAGAGACCAGTGTCCATGACAACGACAGAAGGAAGCAGGCTTTAAATTCTAGTAGTGGTCCGTGCCTTGTTAATGGTAGGGCTACCAGTAGCAGTCATGTTAACAATAATGTTTTCCTTTTTTATTGAGGTTAATTTCTACTGAGCTTGTATCACTTGTAAAATGTCATTCTAAGAAAGTATATTTCAGTGTACTCTGGGACCCTAGTGGATATCCAAGACTCTTCCAGGAGCCGGTGAGGTCAAAATTCTCATCATAATCCTAAATATCATTCGCGTCTTTCATTGTGCTGACATTTGTACTGATTATACAAAAGCAATGAGAAGTAAAACTGCTGACCCCATGACCCGAGGAAGGCAAGGCATCATTGTAGTGCTTGTCATATTCATGAACAAAAGAAGGACAGAAAAAGCCAGATTTATTTTAGAAAGTTTCTAATGAGAGAACAAATTTTATTAAACCTTGACCTTTGAAGACATGACCTTTTAATGCCTTATGTGAAAACATGGAGATGTAGCCATAGAATATTTCTGCATGGCTAAGTGTCTTAGACTTGGGAGCTTACTTAGTCACGTTTTTCACTGACTACCACTTTTATTGGCAGACTTCAGTAAAATGGCAGACATTTTCCTGCAAGAGAATGAAGGCAACTGTAATTTTAAGGAAAATATCCTCCTGGTACAATGGCCAGACTAAATGATCCCTCCTTAATGAGACAGAAGTCTATGTTAACTCTTTTAAAGCCATTTTATGCTCTCAAATGTCATTTATAATTAAAGGGGAAAATGTGCTTGGAATACAAATGAATTTTCAAATTACAGAGCTGAAACTATTTTCCAAGGTTTATGTAGTATGGGCCCACTCATTTTATAAATTAGAAAAATAGAGCCCATATATTGAAAACTATGCCTCCGATGACATTTCACAAATGTATGATTTATGGACTCCTATTTTGTGGTTTTAAATTTCCAGGCACTTTCCTGCATTCTTTCTTATCTGACCCTCACACAGGCCTCCGGAGTATATAAACAGTGTAAAGATTAAGAAAGTGGAGACTCAAAGAGGTTAATCATCTCAAAGCACTTTCTACTTCCTGCCCTTTCATCTATTAACTCAAGGCCCTGAACTGAAGGCAGTGCAAATGTAGAGGAGGTAGATGTTATACAACTTAGTAACTAAATACTTGTGAACGACAAGGAAATGGAGAAGCAAGGGTAATTCTTGAAGCTGCTGTAGCACTTGGAGGGGAATGGATAGTTGAGAAACTAAAACTAAAAACAGAATAGAGTCTTTCAATAAACGTTGTGTCATCTGCTTTGGAGAATTCTTAGAATACAGACTCTGAGCCTTTAGTGGTTTTGGGGCGTGATAGCATGCATACCAGTAACTCAACCTTGTTGAGGTTTGGTCTGTTACTGTATATTGTAATATTAAATACTGGCCCCTAAGGTCTACTTAACCCCAAGGAGGACAAGATCCTCACTTACTGTGTAACCTTGCTCCTTATTTTAAAAGGATTGGTTGACTTAAGTAGCCTATAGCCTAGCTGGGCAGAAGAGAGGTAGGTGGAGTTTTGGTTCCTGAGCTTGGGGTCTGAGGTAAGACCAACCAAAGGGGAAAAGATGGAGAGAGTAGAAGATGCCATGGGGTAATGGATCCTGAGAACTGGTCATGAGGGCTAGACAGTAGGAGTAGGAGGATCCCAGGTGGACCATAACAAGTGATATCTTGTGGTTATTGGCGGGGAAGTAGACATAATAGCATAGAAGTTAGATATCTGCCCAGGTCTACTGCTTTTTTTTTTCACATTAACTTCTTTTTTTATTGTTTTATTTATTTACGTCCCAGACAGTGCCCTCCCTCCTGCCCCCCCCTCCCAAAGTTCCTTATCCCATTCCTCCTCCCCCAGCAGACTTCCCCCTTCCCTAGGGCCTCAAGTCTCTCAAGGATTAGGTACATCCTCTCCCACTGAGGCCAGACCAGCCTTTGTATGCTCCTGATTGGTGGCTCAGTGTCTGGCAAACTGCCTGGGGTCTGGGTTAGTTGAGACTGCTGGTCTTCCTATGGGGTCACCCTCCCATTCATCTTCTTCAATCCTTCCCCTAATTCAACCACAGGGGTCCCCAACTTCAGTCCAATTGTTGAGGGTAAGTATCTGCATCTGTCTCAGTCAGCTGTTGGTGGGGACTGTCAGAGGACAACCAAGCCAGGCTCCCATCTGTAAGCACACCATAGCATCAGTGACAGTGTCAGGCCTTAGTGCTCCCCATTCCCATGAGATGGATCCCAAGTTGGGCCTGTCACTGAATCACCTTTGTTTCAGTCTCTTCTCCATTTTTGTCCCTGCAGTTCTTTTAGACAGGAACAATTCCCAGCTCTAGTGCTTTAAAGGCTTAAATTTTACATCTTTTATCTGGGAACTGAATGACTAAAGGTGGGATAGAAACCCCAGATTGAGAATAAATATTTACTACAACACTAACTTACGGTAAAAAATGGTTCCATGCCTTAAGAAAATCTTAAACGAAGTTCTGTTGCTGCTCACCGAAAGAATTATGTTTGGTCACAGGAAATATTTGTGAAAAGAAGAAGTATCTGAAAAGAGTGTTGCCAAATGGTAGAATTTGGGTATATGAAGGTGATTATATGGAAACAAGAAGAATTGACCACAGTAAACTAGTGAGAATAGTATACAGGGAGGACTATCTGGTATAGAAGCTAGTGGAGAATATGACATGTTTATGAAAATGACACACAATTATAACTGATTATAATTGCTCCTCTAAATTGTTGGGAATGGTCCCTCAGAATCTGAAAATGTGATGACGTTGCATGTTATGGTTTAGATATGACGTAGTCCCTGAAAAAAGTTTGTGTGTTGAAGGCTTGGTTCCCTGCTGGTAACAGTTGAGAAGTGACTGGATCAGGAGAGCACCTACTTCATCAGGGGACAAATCCATTGATAAATAGCTGAATGGTCTGTTAGAAGACAGGGCTTTGTTGAAAGAAATTGGTCCCTGGGGGACATGCATTTGAATAGTATACCCATGTTCTGACCCCATGATGGCTACCTCTCTGCTTCCTGTCTGCCATGATATGAAGTTCTCTTCCCTATCTCATCACAGGCCAGGCGGAGGAATGATAGAGACAGTTGACACAGACTAATACCTCTGAAACTGTGAGCCAAAATCAGTGCTTCCTCAGATGGGCTTGTTGGTGCACATGTATAATCCTAGGACTTAGGAGACTGAGGATGCAGGATCTCAAGTTAGAAAACATCCTATAATCTACAAAAATCCTTCATTCCTTGGTTAATTTTGTCATAGGAATGAAGTATTAGCTAATACACTCTAGATGTGGACAATTTTCCATTTGACTTTTTAAAAATGATGCTCTGTGCCCGGTATAGAAGTGTATGATTGTAGTTCCAGCTACTTAGACTGAGACAGGAGGATCAGTTGAGCCCCCAAGAATTCCAAGACATCCTAGACATCTTCTCTGTTAGACATCTTCTCAAATCTGTAGCCTTTCAATAACTTTAGTCTGCTCTCACTTAGAAATCCAGTCAATTCTTTTGAGTGCGTTTTCACCTGAAAGCATCCCTATGTGTGCCTTGGAGAAGCTTGGGTTGGTCTTGCAGATCTTTTTTCTCCATTGCCATTATATTATTTATTTTCCCCAGAGGAATTAACCTGATTTAGATGTTCTTTACTGGTTTCCCCTAGAAAAGTCAGAAAAATATGATCCACGTGATATTGAAAGGCTTCAGCAAGATGATAACTGGGTTGAAAGTTACTTACATGGGAGACATAACATTGTGGATGAAACACTGAAGATGCTTGATGAGAGTTTTCAGTGGAGGAAAGAATTCTCTGTGAATGGTAAGCTGGTCAATTTAACCTTGACAGGGCAATGAGATCTGTATAAATGGTACCCTTAGATGTTTGTCTGGATTTGCACAAATTCTTAACAGTCATCATAAACACTAGACTATTATGTTTAGAGGCATAATCATACTTTCAAAGGGACAGTTTATAACAAAATCTTAGAAGGAGAATCACTCATAAGAAAATCAGATCACAGGGAACTGAGTCACGCATTGTCACTAAAAGCATGGTTGCCTAGTCTATGTTTGGTTTAATTCCATTAAACAACAAACAGTAAGAGAGTCTTCCATTTTAGACCTAAAAATAAAAACTTATCGCTGTGCTGGTTTTCTTTTTTTTTTCCCAGTTGTTTTTCATGTGTTTGCCATATCCCCAGAGTACTGTATGCTTACTGATTATTCTAAAACTGAATGGGAACCCCCAAAAAGAAAGTTTATCACCAAGGATACCCATGACAGCCTTCTCTAAACTTTTTAAAGCTACTACCAGATTGAAATTTGCCATCAAAATTGGTTTTTGAAATCTTAGAGGGGGTTTTACAGTAGTTTTCAGATATGTGAAGAACACTCAAGAAAGGTTACCTATTGTCTCTCTCTAAAAAGTTAACAGGAGAAAGTAGGCACAACTGCCCAGTCCTATAAAACATCATTTGTCATAGAAGATTATGAAGTCTGGAGTGACTTGGTCTAAAGACTTAAATGCAAAATAGTCAACAAATCGAGAGCTAATTTTCTCGCCATTCTTTATGCTAGAGTCCACAAGAAAGGGCATAACAATGGCAAATGTCAAAACAGTAGGCAGTTTAAACAAAGGATTATTTTGCTGTATTAGTCGAGCAAAAAAGAATTCACATCTGCCATTTTTAAATCGTATACAAAATAAACTTTTATTCAGAGTAAAGTTCGGGGTGCGTGTGTGTTTAGCTTACTGAGAATCTAATACTAAATTCAACAATATGTATTCTTATACATGCTGCTGGTTTCTGGTGACACACAACAAAGATAGGCAGGGGGAATGGGAGAGAACCCGTGCGAGTTCTCTGGGAAGTACTGGTGAATGCAACTCAAGCCTCCTGTGTGCTGCCTTGCCATGCTGGTTTCCAACCTCCCTCAGAGACCAGTTAGGTCTGTTGTTCGTTTTTCCTGCGAAAGAATTGTTATGTTTTTCTTGAATTATTTTCCACCTTCTCTAAAACATTATAAAGTTTACTGTATCTAAAATTTTGAAGGAAAATACAGTCTTGAGAGTAGGGAGATTGCAGGTAAACCGCTTTCTGCACAAGCGAGACTGTGACTGACAAGCACTCACTTCAAAGGCTAGGGATAGCAACAGGTACTGTACTTGTATTTGTAATCTGGGTGCTGGGGTTAGGGGATGGAGGGTGGAGACAGGAGGATCCCAGGGGGCTTTGCTGTCCAGCTACTATAATAGTATAACCAAACCAATTCAGCAATTCAGCCAACTCTAAATTCAGTGAGAAACTCTGTCCCAAAAGTAAGGTGAGAGTTATAGAGGATGACATCCAACATCAGTGCCTAGTCTGTACACACAGAAAGAGCAGGGGGTTGGGGAGAGAGGGAAAGTGTGTATGCAGGGGCCTAGAGAGGAAGAAGAGACAACAAAATGGCATCTTGCTAAATAAAATAGAGTGTTTTTTCCCTTCATATTCTGAAGTTGTGTGAATATTTCTTCATGTGGCTTTTGTTTTGGGAGGGACCCACGGATAGAATCCAGGACCTTGTGTGTGCTAACCTTGCACCCTACCACTGGCCTATACCCAGAAGGTGCACAGGATTAAACTGAATAGTTTCTTAGCGTTAACATGTGTTGACAAGTCAAGTCTTTATTTGAAACCCACTCAGAATCTACAGAGGCAGCCACAAAAATAAGAGTTTTTCCAGAGCTTTCCATCATTTGTAAACCTTTTGTTACTTGTTTTCTCTGTAAAATCTTTTGTCCATTTTTTTTTCTCAGCAGGAAGTAGCCTTTTGTGGTGCCAGCAGCTCTTTCTAGGAGTTTTGTTTTGTCAATTTACAATCTAGCCGTCGCCCCACCTCCCAGTCACCCCCCCCCCACAAAGTTCCTCATCCCATTCCTCCTCCCTCCTGGCCCAAGAGGATGCTCCCCCACCACCAGGCCTCTGCCCTCACTGGGGCTTCAAGTCTCTCAAGGATTCAGGTGCATCTTCTCCCATTGAGGCCAGACCAGGCAAAAGTTACATTTTATTCAAGATTTAAGTAAATTGTATCTTGTTCGAGTTCGGGTGAGAAGAAGTACTATGTAACATTACCTTTACAGTGTGAGTTTTCTTTTTAGATCCATGGATTACTACTATTACTGATCAAAGTTTATCACTTTCTAGACCTTAGTGAATCCTCTATTCCAAGATGGTTATTAGAACTTGGTGGTATTTATCTCCACGGTTATGACAAAGAAGGTAACAAATTATGTAAGTATATGTAATTCATACTCTAGATTTTCAAGACTTTGAAATATACATCTGTGTCTCGATAATCACAGAAGTTTTCCACGTGCATACATAACAAATTCTCAGCAACTGGAGATATGTGGCCATCCTTACCCCTGTCAAATACTATCAAGGCATAGTTTGCATTATTATACACTAAGCAGTAAACACAAGTGCTGTGCTTTAGTTTCTTGTCTATTACTATGATAAGACACCATGAGGAAGGAAACATAGAAGAGTTTGTTTGGGGCTTACAGTTTCAGAGGGTTAGCGTTCACAAGCATGATGGCCAGGAGTATGGTAGTAGGCAGGCAGGCAGGCATGGCACTGGAGCAGTAGTAACGCAGTCATGGTCATTTTAGTTAGCCATTATCTTCTCACTTGTTGCTGGTGCTCCACCTAGTATTTCTTCTCATGGAGAATCTTTTGACCATTGCTCAATATCCAAAACAGACTTGTAAGTCTCTCCTGGTCTCCTCTTAGCTTTTTCTGAAATATGTGTAGTAATGGGTGTTAAGTCGTCTGTTGTTCCGATACTTTTCTTATCCCCTCTTCCACTTGCTCAAATCTCAGTTGAGTCTGTACTACAGTAGGAGAGCTTATGTGCATCTTGCTTGACTTCTCAGCTTGTGAATTGCACTGTATTTTGACAGCGTGCTGCACTGCCTTCTTATTTCTCTGCCTCGTTTTACTTAGTCTCTTCCTCATACCTCTTCTGTGTTTTGCTCCTGAAACGTGTTTCCCAAAGTCTGTTGTAGCTGATAATGTCCTGGGAAGTCATTTCAAACACATCACCCTTGCCAGCTTCCCCAGTCACAGGGCAGATACTATGCAATTCCCGAGCTATTCGCACAGGCCCAGGTGGTGTCTCTTGACTGTGCTCTGCCTTCCTCATGATCTACAGCTCCCATCTCAGCCCTACCGCTTGTGGTCCTTCTTCTCTATTGCTCAGCTCTGGCCCAGGTGTTGGCTCTCCCTGCAATTCAGCTTCATTTTAGCCCCCTTTCTCTTCAGCAGCCATTCCTGCAGTTCAGTCCTGCCTACCCTGTTGCCCTACTGTCAGCTCCTTCCCTGGTTGTGACCAGATAGGTTTCCTCCCTGACCTCTTCTGCTCCAACCTCTATGACACTGCCCAAGTTAGGTTTTGAAATGGGAAAGCCAAACTGAAGCGAGGACTTCAGAGTCATTTAGCTCTTCCCTGCTTCTCTTCTTACCACCCATCCCATTTTAGTCTTAGCTGCCACCACCTGAAGCATTTGCATGGTCCACTTCCTGCACCACACTCTCCCAGGCCTGCTGCCTGCCTGTCTGTGTCTCTCCTCCGGGTAGAATGTGTTTTCTAGCAATTTATCGAAGCATTGGCTTTGCTTTTGAGCACAGTGAAGAGCACTTCTCCGTTATTCCGTGTTCGTTCACCTGCAGCTCTCTTTTCAGAGAGAACCGTCACTTAAATGTGAAGTCTGTGTATTTCCTCAAGGAGAGAGAAATAGTTTGCCTCTCTTCTACTCTTTCATTTAAAGGTAGCAAGTGCAACTGTTTCTCATTTTAAAGAGGGGAGAGATGTTTTTATTCAAAACAAGATGAATTATTAATAAAGGAATATGTAAAAGGAAAAATATATATATATACATATATATGAAAACACCATAAATCGTATGCTTATTTTTTCTCTGTTTTTCTGTATAAGTCTGGATCAGAGTGAAGTTTCACATAAAAGACCAGAAAACCATAATGGACAAGAAGAAGCTCATAGCATTCTGGTTGGAACGATATGCCAAGAGAGAAAACGGGAAGCCTATCACAGTGATGTTTGACATGTCCGAAACTGGACTCAATAGCATAGTAAGCACTCTGCATTAATTCTAAGTCACTTTTTGTTCCAGTTCCCTCCATCCTTGCTGTCTTTTTGCCAACCAAATATTGTTGTAAATTCATTTTCCCTTTGCATTGTGTGTGAAGTCAGACATGGAATAGGGTTTGCAGAGAATTAAATTTGCTTCTGTAGTTGGCAATGTTCCCTGTCTGGTATGTAAGATGGAGAGGTAAGACTGGAAGGATGGCAGTCATTGTGATGGATGCTGAACCTTTTTTGTACCATGTTAATGTCCCCCTACACTGACCTCCATGCCTGGCACAGAGTGAAGCTCACTAAATATTGAATAAACACATGCATGATCTCTGAGACTTTGTATTTTTACCATGTTTTGAAGTCGCAAGATATTCATGTGAGTTTACCGCTTGCTTACCACTTTCTGTACTTTTCTTGGGCACTTGGGTATTCTTCCTGGATTTTTAAAAGTTTGTTTATTTTATTTGGTAAGCTTGGAGAACCAGCTTTTTTCAGGTGACTTTTGACAACTTGAAAACATAGTTAAATTGTTGCAGTATCAACAATGTTTTACATATTTACACCGATAGCCCCTGTACCTCATGGAGCTTATGTCTAAAGTTCATTTGATCTTTGGAGTTCAGGAATAGCCCAGACAGCATAGTGAGACTGTCTTGAAAAAATAATGGAAAAGAAAAAGTCTAAATGTCCAACATGACAAAATGATAAATTGTATTATACCTAATTGGTAGCCATATATGTTGGTATCTGTGAAGAACTTGTAATAAAATTGGAGAATACCTTTTTAAGAGGAAAAGAACTGTATTACTATAGTATATTGCTGTGTAACCCAAAACGGTGATGTCTTAGATTTACACAACCTAACCAGGTTCCAGAGAACAATTCAAAAGAGCTTTAGGAGAGGAAGATGGCAGCATGTTTTCTCAGTAAGAATCTAATACCCTGCATTTTTTTAAAATGTAGTTTCCATTGAGTGGATTTTGAATTATAAAGTAAAATGTTTTATATCATAAATTAAACTCGAATTACTTAAATGAATCTATATTCTATGAAGTTAGGCTATGATTCTATTGTCCTTTAGATACCATAGTCACCTATTTATTACAACCGCAAATAATGTATGCTAATGATTTCTGTTCCCTAATATAGGGGGAGGGAATTGACAACAGCTATCTGATGGATTTTCAACAGATTCACATGTTGTCATTTCTAATTTGTAAAGAAAGTCTATTGATACTAGTGGATATTTCATTCATTATTGATGTTATAAAGCACCTGAATTTTTATTGGATAATTTTGTTTATTATATAACACTCATGATTCAAAAAGTCACTTTATGAAAATGTATATTGGAGACATAAAATGCTTTAGTAAGAATTGGACTACCATGTTGACTGTAACTTTTTGGCTTCCTAGCTAAAAGAATGGAATCATTTAATAATATACAAATATCTGGACTTTAAATAATTAATACTTTAGGAAAACATGTCTATTCTCAGCAGTTTAACTAGAAAGAGACATCTTGCATGTGTCATCAGAGGATGGACACTGTAAATGATACAGATACCATTCTGAAAAGCACCCTTAGAGATTGTCCAACAGTCTATTTCATGGAGGTATGTTATGTAATAGCCAGTGTAGGCCACTGACATCATATCTCCAAAATTAGGTTTTTATGAACAAGAACAGCCAACTGAATAAATGATGGTAATGACTCCTATATAAAGACTAGTAATATCTGAGAGTAGTCACAGATGTTAAACTAGGTAACCAAAATTTTATACAGCTAGTTTTTTAAGTCCTTTTATCTGACTCTTACTTAACTATGGATTTTTGAAACTATGCTCACTGCATATAAGGACTATTTATAAAGGTTTTACTATATACTAAGACTTCTCCCAGAATAAATATAGATGAGGATGCTTACCTTCAGTTTACTACAATTAAAGGCACTGTAACTCACATGCTAGGAAAGACTTCATAGTCTCTCCTGTCTAGAATTACCAGCTTTTCAATAGCTGTGCTGGATTGCAGCTTGTCTGCTTAGCTGTTCAAACTACAAGTGTTTATCAGGTGGCTGAGCAGGATAAAGGGAACAGGCTGCTAGTGCGGAATAATATGAGGAGTGGAATATGACTAATATCCCAAATGGCCTCATTTCCTTTTGTTGTATATGAAGCAGGAGAACTAACCAGGTAGCTGTTTAATACAGTCTCCAAAAAACTGGAATGAATAAACTGAAAAACAGCAGCAACAACAACAACAAACTAATACAGGGCATCTTAAATAAAATGTAAATTGGCAAGTCAGATCAGTGGGATCCTTGTATAAAAAACTAACAGCATGTTTTATTGAAATTCTTATAAGGTAAAAATTAGATTTAGAAAGTTAATACTATACCATAGTGCGTATGTGTGTGTGTGTGTGTGTGTGTGTGCGTGCGCGCGCGCATGCGGGTGCGTGTGTGTGTGTGTTTGAGTTAATCATATTATAAACTGCATATCCTTTTCAATAGTTCTATAGTTGTTCAATAAACTTTTTAGAGTCTCTCTGTGGGAATTGCTTTTATATCTGTTGCATGCTTTTGTAGCCTGAAGCAGATAACTAATTTGAAGTAATACAAATAAGTTTTAAAATACCCGTAAATATATGACTTCTTAAACTCAATTTTAGGGCCAATCCTTAGCTTAATAACCTAAAACCATAACCCTTAGGGCTATAGATACATTTATTAGCTTATCTTTTAAGAAAAGTAGTTGTCTCACTTGCATTTAATAATTTATCACTGTTCGAAATGTATAAGTTAATGTTGTCTGATATGCACAGTCTTAAAACTTTAATATTTATTTTAGGACATGGACTTTGTACGATTTATCATCAACTGCTTTAAGGTGTATTACCCCAAATACCTCTGTAAGTAACTTACTCCTTTCTAAAAATACAATATATTGAAATTGTAGACGGTGCCCATAAGTGGTAGTTTTATATTATTGACTCATACCTCAAACACTGTTTTTTGATGAAGTACTTTAAATGTATTCCTAGGTAGATATGTAAGTCCTTATCTCAGTAGATACATAGACACTTTTCTGAAGTAGTTTTCCTTTACAGTTGTTGTTTCCAGTCAAGTTCTAGAGTCCAAAAGAGCCTGTAACACTGAACACCCAGCTGTGTGCAATTATATATATTTATTTGCAACATGTGCCCATTTGTACTGATCTTTGTTTAAAATTGTATTTATTATATGGAACTTGCTGCATGCAAGAGCAGATGAACAGTACTAATAAAGTACATTGTAAGGCAAATGAAGTACAGTGTGTTACTAATTGCTGCTTTAGAACTGGCAATAAGAAAATACTGAACCAGAATGCACTACTGGTGCTGGGAATTTTGGCAGGCAAGTGTTCTATCACGGAACTAACATCCTCAGCCCTGTTTTGTTTGTTTTTAATTTTAACTCTCCCTTTAATGATGGGACTTCAAATGATGGGCTCTTTCTAAGCCTTATAAGCTCATTTTTCATTTGTTGGACTTATGTAATAGATTACTCATCAGGTAAATAAATGGCCAACCCACATAAACCGTCAGTTTTATTTAGCTCCAGTTTGATAAAAGCCAAAAAGTCAGAAGAAGCAAAAGGATATCAAAAATGGAAATTCATGGAGCTCCCTACATGTATTCCTGGCAGATACCACAGTTATGGTCTCTTGGGTGACAAAAGCATACTGAAAGTCTGAAATCAGTACCACATACAGCCTTATTCTGCAAACCCATCAGAGACTATTTGTGAATGTTGTTAGATAAAGAAAATGATGGCATTTGGGTTGGGAAATTGAACATTCTACAATTCCTTGTAGATCTGGCACATCCCCTGATTGATTAAATCTTGCTAAGCAGTGCCCTTCAATGGACAGAAATACAAGATATTCAAGATATTAACTTGTTTCTTTTATGGACAAAACAAAACTGAAGTATTTATTGAACAATCTAAAGGATACACCATGTCAAAATAGTACTAACATAACTATTACTTTATAAAATACATTCAGCCTTCTAAAACACCTGTTGACTGAAATACTTAAGTCTGTAATGAGCCTTTGGGGGAAAAATGTAACTATTCGTTATCTATAAAATATGTCCAGGATTATTTTGAAAGAACTATTCATGAATTCATGGGTTCATATAATGGTACATATTGCTCATTTCAGTTAACTACAAATGATGTCTCTGTTCTATCAAAATTGTGTGGTTTTGCAGACATTGGATTTTATAAGGTATTAAACTTACTGTTCTTTGAAAGCTGTCATGAACTCCAACTATTAGACCTTACATCCCTGCTCAAAAGCTTGAATACTAAGCAGTGAGCTTTCTCTTACTAGTACCAAGTTCTTTTTGTGTATTTTACTTTCGCTAGTTTTGCATAGCATTCTAGGGGATTCTCGTCTTGGAGAAGAGCGAAATTACATATTGATTCATCTGCAGTAGAAGAATGAACGGGCTATCACAAATCCCCTTTGTGGTTTCTGATTTCTTTCTCACATTTGCTTATAGGGCTACTTAATATCCTCAATTCAGTATGTAAATAACAGTTGTGTGTACTTCAGAATTTTTGGCTTCCTGGAGTTCATAAGAGTTAAGAAAAGATACAATGTCTATGTCTCGGCGTCAGAGGGACCGGACAGCTGTATGACTAGTCACCAGTGTAATCTCAAGAAAATGTCTAAGTGAAGCCATACATTAGACATGTAAATACTGTTGTTAAAGTACAGTTGCTTTCAGCACTTATCTGGCACGTGACACCCATGCTCCCTTAACTATTTTCTTGTGTACCTTCATTAAATCAGCAAATGACCAGAGGGATGGGTTGTTTGCCAAAGACCAGTGACAGTGTATTATTGGGACTCCTCCCCATTATGAGCTGATGGTTCAGTTCCAGTCCCACTCACACGTTCCTGAATTAGACCCTAGCCAACCAGCTCAATTTTTCTCACATAGTTGTCCTTTTCTAGGTCAGGTCAAGCTGATAGACTATTTATTGTAAAGGAACTAAGTCACATGAAGTGAAATTTTTTTTTCATCTTTCAGCAAAAATAGTGATCTTTGATATGCCTTGGATAATGAATGGTGAGTATAGTATTGTGTTTTTTGACTTTCATTTGTCTTACTTGGCCAATTCAGCTGTTTCTACCATTGTTTAGGAACATGTTCATATTATCCTTGTGGACTCTTAAAAGGACAGAGCCAGAGTACTTAAAGGTTGTTTTGTAAACAGATAAGACTGGCATTCTCTCAAGAGTTTGGGAGTTTTTCTACTTGTCTTTTCTAAAATCAGCAGGAAGCTATTCCACCACTTGGGTAAAATAATTACAAGAAACCTCGTTCTTTTTCCCATGCACAAAACATATATTGGCTAGGTTTTCTCTTGATTCAAGTGTTGAAGGACAAAGTGGGAGAAATCTGAAAGTCACTCCAAATCACTGAAGTCACATGGCCCTTTTTGACAGTCATAATTTTCCTGAAAGACCTTTGAAATGGATATTGAAAAAAAAGTTCCTAGTGATTTGAAAGGCAATCCTGTTCTTCACATTGATTTCATTGGTGTTTCCACGAGTCCATTGTTGCATACACAGTCAACAATAGGGAAACTCTGTAGACTGAAATTTGCTGCTTTCAAAAGTTATTTATTGGCAAGCCTTTTAATACTGGTAAAGACTAAACAAATGAAATGCTTACGTTATTAAAATGTTAGAACAGGAAAAAAAACAGGTCACTACTGACTCATGGAAATAAAAAATAGTTATAGCAATGAACTTCTAAAACTCGATAAAATTGATACATTATTAGGAAGACCTAGACTGCTGAAGTTGACTCAAGAATCAGAAGTAGTAGCCAAAAGTAAATTAATTAATCGATTGATTAAAAAAAGTAAAAATAAAAGTTAAATGTTAAAACCCACAAAGAAAAGTTCAGGCCCTGGTGAGTTTTCTGGAAAATTCTATGAAATAGTTAAAGAATTTACCCTGACCCTTTGTAAACAGTTCTAAAAATAGGCCACAAAGGAGAGCTTGTAACTCATTCATGAGTAAATACAATCCTGCTACCAAACATCAGACAGCAGGAAAACTGCAGAGGGCAACCCCTTCCAACTATAGACACACCAGTGGTCTCATGCACTATAGGTATGGCTCCATGATGTGACACTTGCCTGGCCTATGTGGAGCCCTGAGTTCCACTCCTAGCACTGCAGAAGGACAAAACTATCAAACCATAGCCAAAGAAATATAAAAAGCATTACAGGTGGCAGAGTGCTTGAGAACTGAATTTAATCCCTAGGAATTTATATAACAACAAGTACATATCTCCCTCTGCTCTGAGAAATGAGGGTTGGGAGAAGGAATAAGCAGAACTCCAGAACTCTCAGGCCAGCCATTCTAAAGTAATCAGTAACTTTAGGACAATGAGACCCTGTCTCAAAAAAGCAAGGTGGATAACTCTTGAGCTATGGCACCTAAGGTTCTCTTCTGGCTTCTACATACCTGCATATACATGTAAGCGCACACACACACACACACACACACACGACTACCACCACCACCACCACACACCAAAAAGCATTACAAGCCATGACAAAGTAGGAATTGTTTCAGTGATGCAAAGTTGGTTCAAAGTAAAAAAAAAAAATCAGTATAATATATCATATTAATAAAATGAAGAAACCAAACTACAGAATCATCATCTTAGTAGGGGAAAAACACATACACATGCCAAAACTTTAATATACTCTCATGAAAAAACTCTTTTAAAAGTAGCAACAGAAAGTACTATTGAAACAAGGAGATTTAACAGGAGTCCTAGCAGTCTATAGAAGACAGCCTTCTTCAAATTCAAAATTCTACAAATTTCTTAAATGATTTTCAGATGTTTGATCGCTCACTAGAACTTACTGAAAACAACTGATGCTCACCACTGTGACTTATTGCAAGGAAAAGAATTACAGAGAAGTTCCAAATGTGAAACAGATCACTCTCAGCATCGATGTGACCAGCACACAGGGAGTATTCCCAACCAAGGAAATTCACTGAAGGCCGCATGCCTTGATTATCAGAAATTGGCTTGGGGCTCCATTATGTAGGCATGATTGATTTTACCTGTGGCTAGTACTTACTGGTACTTCATGGCCTACTGTCCCTATTAAATCACATGTTGGTTTTTCTCTCATAGTCAAGTCTCACCCTAATCTGAGGTCATGTTGTTCCCACTATTCCAAGCCTCCCAGCACCCCCCCAAAAACAAAGAGACAGTCCTACCAAACAGGAATGCTACCTCCCAGAAGCTGGGAGAAAAGGCCAGACCTCTCTTTAGGTAAGGGTAATTTTTTAACTGCATATAGAAAAGCTTTTTGCCCTGACAAAGGGCTTTTATGGTAACCCACAGCTAGAAACATTTGCAAATTATTTCAATAAAAGCTGGCATGAAAAAAATCAGACTTAACAACTTCATTTAATTCCAATAACATGACTTCAATCCTGTCAAGTCACAGGCTGTTTTAAATTGAAAAGGAATGTTTAAATAGTACTTGAACAAAAGCCTAAATCATAGGGAGCCAGAATTTAAAAAAAAAAAAAACAACGCGATTTTCTAACCCACACTTCAATGTTTTTATTATTCTGATTTCCGCTTTCTTGTCTACTGCCACTTGTGCGTATTTACTGCAGCATTGTGCTTTTAGATTTTTTTCAAAATAGGTTAAAAAGGTCCCATTAGAAATATTTTTTTAATTAAGCCTAAAACAAATGACATGACACAGGACCGAATTGTAGCTGTCAAATAGCTATGTTTGGTAGCAGCTTATTCTTGTAGAGTCTTTCTCATGGTTATATAAACTGCACAGCCTGGGAAAAAGGCAGAGTTTTGAATCAGGAAGGAAGCTGGTTCTGGCTCACACCCATAATAAGCAGGGCCCCTTCCTCCTGTTTCTGCCTTTCTCTTTGAGGAGGGATTTTATATTGAGGGTTTATCAGAAGAACCACAAAGTAAAAGATTCTTCACAACATCATATAATTCCTTCCTGAGTCACATAGTGGTTTAGTTCATTGTCTAGAAATCATAGTTATTGAGGCCACTGATAGACGTGCTCACAGGTCACAACCCTGAGAAGCTTCTCAGTGAACATCAGGGTAATTGAAGCTTCCTGGATCTCCATGGAGCATTTGAAATGTGTGAGGGACACGCATACCACAAAACCTGCTAGAATTAAAGAACGGTAAGTGTCCAGCCTCAGAAGAAAGTCCTCACAGCGCTGAGTTCAAGATGGTTTTAGAAGGTCTGGGTTAGTGCATACAGCAAAGTAAGTTTTTGACAGAGCTAGTGTGGTGACTTGCTTGTTTTTCCTCAGCTGCTTTCAAAATTGTGAAAAGCTGGCTTGGCCCTGAAGCAGTAAGCTTGTTGAAGTTTACAAGTAAGAATGAAATCCAGGAGTATGTCAGTGTGGAATACCTGCCTCCCCACATGGGTGGGACAGTAAGTACCGTCCTTGAAACTTGTTATGGTAGATCACCAAATAATAATAGAGTTCTATGTAATAGAGTTCTATAATAATAGAGTTCAAAGGGAAAAGGGCAAATCATTTTTGTTAATTTTTATTCTTCTTTCATACAATATATCTTAATCACAGTTTCCTCTTCCTCTACTCCTCCCAGTTCCCCTCACTTCCCCTCACCTCCAGATTCATTCCTCCTCCATTTCCCTTCAGAAAAGAGCAGGCTTCCCAGGGACATCAACTGAACATGGCACAAGATACAGTAAGACCTGGCACAAGCCCTCACATCAAGACTGGGTGAGGCAACCCAGTAGGATTATTCATCCTCTAGTTCCTGACCATTCAGGCAATGTCAGGCATTGGTCTCAATGCCTGACCAGTCATTGATTGGCCACTTCCACAAGTTCTGCACCACTATCGTCCCAGCACATCTTGCTGGCAGGACAGTTTATAGTTTGAAGGTTTTGTGGCTGGGTTAGTGTCCAGTCCCACTGAGACACTGGAAGCCTTGTGTCTTAGTTAGGGTTTCTGTTGCTACAAGGAAATATCATGACCAAAAAGCAAGTTGGAGAGAAAGGTGTTTTATATCGCTTACACTTATATATTGCTGTTCATTATTAAAGGAAATCAGGACAGGAACTCAACCAGGGCAGGATCCTGGAGCCAGGAGCTAATGCAGAAGCTATGGAGGGGTGCTACTTACTGGCTTGCTTCTGCTGGCTTGCCCAGCCTGCTTTCTTCATTCCAGGACAACCAGCCCAGGGATGGCGCCACCCATTATGGGCTGGGTCCTTCCCCATTGGTCATTAATTGAGAAAAGCCCTTACAGCTAGATCACATGGAGGCATTTCCTTAACTGAGGCGTCTTCCACTCTGATAACTCTAGCTTGTATCAAGTTGATACACAACCTTTTGCCAGTACATTTTATCTGGCTACAGAAGATGGATGGTTCAGGCTCCATACCCTCTACTACTAGGAGTTCTCACTAGCCACCCTAGTAGATTCCAGGGAGTTTCCTCTGCATTGGGTTTCCACATTAGTTCACAGGTGCCCTCAAATTCCAGTCATCTGTCACCCCCACCTGATTCCTCCTATTCCCAATCCCAGCTGCCCCCAGTTCACTGGAAAATCTAGTCAATTTCCCCTTCCCAGGAAGATGTAGGCCCTGTCTTAATGCAAAAAGAATGATTAGTGATACCCCTAAAATGAGATGGAGGAATGAATGAATAAATGATTCTAAATTGGGGTGCATTCAGTATTCAAAAGTATATTCAGAAACAATTCTTCATAAAATGTCTCCTATTCTTGTCTCAAGCACCCTAGTGCCTTCTGTGGTTGCATTTCTTAAATTAATTTCTAGAGATGTGCATTGCATGTGTAGGCAAGTGTAGGCACATGCACATAGGCCTTCCTCCTACTCATCGCTTTTAAATAGGTAGCATATTGGTACAGTATTCTACATCTCTGTTTTCCCTTCACAACAGTGTGTGCCAAGCTTCCACATGTGTATGGCTGCAGCACTCCAGTATCATGAACCATAACTTACTCAATTTGATGTTGATGTGTGGCCTTGGTTTTCTTCCCTGTCTTTCCTACCCAGTGGTTTGGTTTTTGTTGTTGTTGTTGTTGTTGTTGTTGTTGTTTTCTTTTCATTTAAAGTGTAGCCTTAAGAATATGCTGTAAAAGTTTAAAAGAGTTGTTTGGTTTTTATTTATTTATTTGCCTTTATTTTTTGTGCTCTACGGATCAAACCCGGGGCCAGATTCATGCTAAGCAAATACTATTGCCCAGCCGTCAGAATGTTTTTGAACTGATATGTATTACTTAAAACAGAGGTCAGAAATGAGTGGATAGATTTGGAAATGTTAATGTTGTGTCCAGGTGTGATAGTGCACACCTGTACCCATCAATCAAGAGACAAAATTCAGATTGCAGTTCTGGGCCAGCCTGGACTACATGGTGATTCCTCAAGTAAATTTTGGGTTTTTTTTATTTCGTTTAGTTTGTTGTTGTTGTTGTTGTTTTAGTATTTACATAGCTGTAAAAATGAATGCAAAAGTGACTTTTCCTGAAGTGTGAAACCTCTGTAAATAACTGTAGGTATATTTTGCCTGCCTGACAAAATTGGATTTAAAGAGAAGCAAGAGCTAACAGCATTAGTGTTTGGTGTCCCTGTTAGTTTTCATTAATTAGAAGAGACATGAGCCAAAAAATATTTAATTTCAAGTCTGCATCTTTCTTATTCAGAAACTTTCCACTTTGCATTTGAAGCTAGGAAAAGTGAATGCTGAGCACTTCAGATACTATATTACTGTTAAAGTTAATATTTAGAACGGCGTTTTCTTGGGCTGACTATCTAAGCAGCAGCGGCTCTGCTTAGCTCAGGCCCTCATTCTCTGCAGCCTGAAGCCAAGCACTTCACAGCTAGAAGCGGCCAGAGGCCACATGCTCACCACAGCTAGAAATGGCCAGTCAGAAACACCAGCCCTGGCACCCACCAGACATCAGCTTGAGAGATGGCTGTGCCAATCTTTCATGCTATCTCCTCAAGGCTGGGCTGTGCCCAAACCATCCTGCCATCCCTGTGGGCCCGGTAGGAAATGAGACACTAATGCTTAAATATTAATCAAAGGCTTTATATGTTTGGTAATGCTCAATAACAATATGCCCATAAAATGTTTCCCAGTTAGCTAACTTAAACATAAGTTGTTACCCAGGACTGCTCTCCATACCTGAGTGGCTCTTCATATATTTGGTAATGCTCAATAACAATATGTCCATACAATTAGAGGTGGTGTTTCCCAATTAGCTAACCTAAATATAAGTTGTTACCCAGGACTGCTCTCCATACCTGTGTGACTCTTCATCCTCCTCCATCTCTCTCCCTCTCCCACTCACCTCGCTCCTCCTCTTCCTTTTCCTCTTCCTCTCCTTACTCCTCCCACCTTAGTTCATCCTACATATTACACCTGTAATTAAAGCAAAACCGTTTTTGTAATTGTTCCAGTTTTATGTTTTATTTTTGAGGCAGGGTCTCTTGTAGCCCAAGCTTGCCTCAAACTTCCAAATCCTCAGCCTCTGATATGCACAGATTATAGGCATATAACCACCATACTCACTTCTCCATGTGTTTAGTTTGTCTACATATGTTTTGTTTTTTTTAAGATATATTTTATTTGAACGTTTGGGTTAATGTGTGTGTGTGTGTGTGTGTGTGTGTGTGTGTGTGTGTGTGTGTGTAGTTGTGCACATATATGGTACCCATGGAGGCCAAAGGACGCATTAAAAAATATCTTGGAGCTGGAGTCACAAGTGCAATTTTCTGTGAGCTCCCTGATGTTGGTGCTAGGATCCAAACTCTGGTCTCTTGACAGAGCAGTAAACACTCTACCACTGAACCACATCTCTATCCCTTATGTTTATTTTTGCTTGATTCTATGTGGTGTATAAGACTGTGTATGTTTATATGTGCATGTGTGCATTTATGGAGGCTACAGGTCCACATTAGATAACTTCCTCTATGCTCTCCACCTTAGTTTTTGAGACAGGGTCTCTCACTGCATGTAGAACTTACGGATTAGCTAGACTGGCTGGCGTTTGAGTCCCTAGGGTCCTCCTGTCTGTACCTCCCAGTACTAGAATTAAAGACAAGTATAATCAACCACACATGGCTTTTCACATGGAATCTAAATTCATCCTTCATGCTGGTTCAACAATCACTATGCCCACTGAGCCATATTTTTTATATATATTTTGTTTGGGTTTTATGATTTTTTTACTTGTTTAATTAATTGATTGAGGTTTGTTCTGTTTTGTGGAGCTAGGAATTGAACCCAAGTTCTCAAACATGCTAGGGAATTACTCTACCCTTGAACCACATGGAGAACCAATTAGCAATATTATTGCACTGCCTGTGTTCTGTGCTGTGTGTAGAAGAGTCTGCCCTACTTATATATTTATTCAGTCCATTCCTCTTCTGGTTTAATACATAATTTTATGGTTTAAAAATCACACAAGGTACACACAGTACATTTATGTGTTAGTCATCTGAACTTCTTTTTGGTATGGAGTAAGCTGAAGATCTATCCCAATTTTTTTCTTACATGGCTTAGTCTTTATTTATGGCTCTTTCTCTTTTCTAATTTGAAATGAATCCCATTTTTTCTTTATAATTACGCTTATTTTCTTGGCCAATGTAATCCATTTTCAGTATACCATAAGAGAATTATTTCTCTCTACATTCCTAGCAGGCTCATAATGAAAGTTCTCTCGTGTAGGATCCTTTCAAGTATAGCTACCCACCACTGGTAGATGATGACTTCCAGACACCACTGTGTGAAAATGGGCCAATTGCCAGTGAGGATGAAACCTCAAGTAAAGAAGATATAGAAGGTGATGGTAAAGAAACCTTGGAAACGATTTCTAATGAGGAGCAACCAGCTCTGTCCGAAAAGGTAATTTTAGGAATAAAGTAAAATGGAATCAAAAGCTGTCATCTGATGCTTGAGACATAGCTCAGTGGTACAGCACTTGCCCAGCATGATGCCCTAGGTTCAATGCCCAGCACAAGGGGGGAAGGTACTGTGGTGTCTCCCCAACTCTGCCGTGAGTCTTTGAGATAATCCAGTTACCTTACCTCCACATTTTTTTTTGAAAAAAAGATGAAGAAGGGATGACTGGAACTGAATTACAGCATATATATATATATATATATATATATATATATATATATATATATACACACACACACACACACATACATAAAGAGCTGACTCCATGCTTTGTACAAAACATGGTGAAGTACATCTGGAGGGAATCTTTTCAAAAATTTATTTAAGATTAAAAATAAAAGTGATTAATTTGAAACATCAGAGGATCCCATTCCTCTGAATTTCATTTGGAAGGGCTTGTTAACTGTTATTCTTCACAAAATATAGCAAGAGCTTGTTTGATAAGTACATTATAATTTAGAACAAAAATCATCGAATCTGTTGTGTTTATAAGAGAATCATATAAGTATTTTCCCATGGTCATGTCAGTATACATTAAACATGTCATTCAGACATGCTAAACATGTTTTAAAAAACTATGATTTGCATTGAATTTAAATGGTTATTTGTTCTCCCAGTGACCTGTTCAACTAGAACTAAAACATCTTCATCTTTTCTACCTTGTTTCTGTTCTCTATTTTTTTGATGTTTAGAGTAACCCAACTGAGTCTACTTCCAAAAAAGATGAAAATGAAAAAGTTGATTCAAAGACGAAAACTTTTAAAAAGCCATTGAGTGTTTTTAAAGGACCCTTATTACACATCAGGTAACAAAGATTGTATTGACTGCATTTTTGTAACATAACTTGATCATCCTGGCCGAGGCTAAGGTGGTAGAAGATTAAGTTGATTAAGAAAACTTCTACCCTGTCGTTAAGAGTAGAGTACAATTGTGCAGAGTACCATGTGCCTTATTTTCCAGACTTAGTGACCATTTCCAACTATCATTTTGTTATTCCAGAGTGTGTATCATAGCCCTCATCACACTTCGGATAGGAATATTGAATATTCATTCATTAATAAATCTTAATGATGCTTGGAAAAATAAAAATAAGGGGATGAGTTTGTTGATTTAACCTTCTGAAGGACCAGCTTGCTCTAGAAGAATGGGATTTTAACTAAACCCTAATGGGAGACATGTTTATCTCTGTTTCAATTTATTAATTCGAAAGGGAGCTGAGGATATAGCTCATAGTTGGAATGCTTGTCTGCATTATGTGAAGCCCTGAATTTGATCCCTAACACTGAAAAAGAAAATAAAAGAATCCCAGAGCTATTTCCTCTGTGTTCAGTATTGCTATAGCAACACTAGTCAGTGATGACCTAATGTAGCCTTTTTGCGCCTTTTCTTAAAACTTTCATATGTCACTATGTTTGGAGTATATCATCCATCAACAATACAGCCAGACTTCTTCAGAATTTAACCTGAAAGTCTGTAATTGACAAAACTTGTTTGCCTACGTATGGATTGAGTCCTGTTGGAGTGGGATGTATTGCCATTGTCTGTGTATATATCTGAGTAAGGAGAGACACGTGCCATAAAGTTTGTCTCCCATGTTTTTTATTTGCCATTTTGCACCTTTAGAGTTTGTATGTTTGCAATTTTTCTTCTGCTACTTTGGAAGTCAATGTTCCATGCTTCTCAGAAGACCCATTCAAAGCGTAGATCCTCACCTGCGATTCTTGAGGGTTAACAGTGATAGAAGCCAGAAAGGCAGGTTAGAATAGGACAACTTCCAGGATTGCATTGTGAACATGACTCCACTACCTGTGCCCCAATCAGAGTCACGGAGCTACTCCCTCACATGAACAAGGACCCCACCAATGTCATCTCCCATGCTGCCTTGGATTTTTTCTATTGTTTACTGAGAAGTGCTCTGACATCTATAACATTGCTGTTTTCATGTTTCCAGTTCTTTGAGCGCCAAAGAGAACAGAGCAATCATGTACTTGTACTGTCTTCCCCAAAAGTGGGCAAGGTCATCCTTAAACATATCCTCTCTAGATTAATGAATATCCTTGATGTGTATGACAATTCTTATGTAACATAACAGATAGAAACATACCTGCTGCTGTGATTGCAATGCAAGCTTTAAATTCCAGCAGTCTTAAGAGGCAAGAGGCTCACACTTGAAGGCTAGCCTAGGCTACCTAAAGACTCTCAAAACGAAACTTCCTGTTGGAAGGGTGTGTGTCTGTGTGTGTCTGTGTGTGTGTGTGTGTGTGTGTGCACGCATACAAACTCAGGGTTTTGTGAAAACTATCACTTAAGCTAAGCTCTTGAACTTAGAGCAAAAACACTAGCCCAGATGGCCTTTCCGTTGTGTTGAAGCACTGATAAAGTTTGGCTAATGCTATTAAACTACACAGTTTTTGTTTTAGGCTGTAGATATTCCAGTAGCCAATAATAGTGAACTTGGAAGCTTGAGTCTTAATAGTTTTACTAGTTTATCTGCCCTCTTGAACTACTCCAAATTTCTTTACATGTCTGTTTTTTCTTCTCCGTTCTCAGAAAAAGCCATCTCTGTAGTAAAAAATTATTCTGTTACTTAAATATATCCCTAATAATCTTTCTATGAGCTTATGTTCTTCTCTGTTGGTATACAAAGCATGCTCAAGGCTAATCTGTTTGTAATTAGGGAACACTGAAGCAGCAGTGCCTTCTGTGTTTTGATAACAATCCATAACCTCCCAAGGAGTTTAAACCGAGCCACCTCAGATTGTGTTGATTATAGGATTAATTCAGCATCTTCATAACTCTCTCTTCTGTTCCTTTCCTATTTTCCTTCTGACCTTAGGGAAAACCTTAGGACTACCTAGCATGCATAGCATCAGTAAGTTTAACATACAAACTGATATTAGGTAACTATTTTGGTCACCATCTTGTATAAGGAAGTCTCTTGATTCCAGTGAGCATAAGCAATTAGCCAAACATCTTTTAGACTAGTGTACACAATGCTGTTTAGTCTGAGTACTATAAACGCTTTCGTTGTTTTCCACTTAGCCCAGCAGAGGAATTATATTTTGGAAGCATTGAATCTGGAGAGAAGAAAACTCTGATAGTGTTGACAAATGTCACCAAAAATATCGTGGCCTTTAAGGTAAAAAAGAAAGTCTTAAAGTCATAATCAATGATGAGAGTGTGTCAACGTTAAGTGATTTGGGACATTCCTTTTTTTTCAGTTTTTTTTCTTTCTTTCTTTTCTTTTTTTTTGTTTGTTTTTCAAGACATAGTTTCTTTGTGTAGCCCTGGCTGTCCTGGAACTCACTCTGTAGACCAGGCTGGCCCCAAACTCAGAAATCTGCCTGCCTCTGCCTCCCAAGTGCTGGGATTAAAGGTGCACGCCACCACTGCCCGGCTATTTGGGGCATTCCTAATGGAGAGAATTATAGTCAAACAATGAACGGCTGTGTGTGAAATATTTAGCTTGTGTTATGTGTCCTACCCCCTCCCCGTCCTGTACTCTCTTCTAGTAGAAGGGCTTGTAGTGAGCTTAGTCACCTACACTTTGTATTTGGTGACACAATAGAAACTACACTCCAAGTTATACCACATGTGAGGGAAAGGCACCTTTGCTTTGATTGTGTTATCCTTCAATGTTGTGGTAAATTACATGTTTTATCTAATGAAGATTGTCCTCTGGCCTGCACACATATGTGCACCTATTTGCTCACATACACACACCAAGAGGAAAGCTAGGGCCAGCTGTGATATAGTGCATGTCTTTAATCCCAGCTCATGAGGAGCAGAGGCGGGCGTGTCAGTATGAGGTTGAGGCCAGCCTAGTCTACATAACCAGCTTCGGACCAGCGATGGCTACAAAGATCCTGTCTCAAAAAGGGGTAAAAAAGGGCGCGTTGACAGTAGGACTTAAAAGTAGGTTTTTAAATAACTCAGAATACTTTTATCTTATTGGTGACAACAAATAACAATCTGCACAGAACTTCTCTCTTTGTTTATTAGCTGCTCTTTTTTTTTAAGCCATTCTTAAGCCTTGCCTCCAAAACAGCATGTGATTATGTGGTAACTATGTTTCTAAATAGGTGAGAACCACAGCTCCGGAAAAATACAGAGTCAAGCCAAGCAACAGCAGCTGCGATCCCGGAGCTTCGGTTGATATCCTCGTTTCTCCACATGGCGGTGAGTTGTCGTTTTTTTCTCTCTCTTTCTCTCATGTTCAGAAGTAGTTGGCCAACATATGATAGACTCCAGAGGATTTTTTGAGTACTTTTATTTGGTTATAGTTTGGTAGTGGGGGTGGGGGTTGTTTGTTTACTGGGTGGTGGTTTATTTTGTTTTCTTGGTTGGGGGCGTGTTGCTCTATTGGGGTTTTGTTTGATTTTTGAGAAAGAACTTAAAGTTGGTCGGGTAGGGATGGGAGAGGATCTGGAAGGACTTGGGGGAGGGGAAGAATATGGTCAAAGTATATTCAACTTAAAATGTTTTAAATGATAAAAAATATTTTTTAACAGTAATAATGATAATAATAATGCCTTAAGCCACATATCCAGCCCCCTGTGACAGTTCGTGTTCATGTGTTAAATTACTCTTTTGAAGTGCAGGCTTAACAGTCTCTGCCCAAGACCGGTTTCTGATAATGGCTGCTGAAATGGAGCAGTCATCTAGCACAGGGCCTGCAGAACTGACTCAGTTCTGGAAGGAAGTTCCAAGAAGCAAAGTGATGGAACACAGGTAAGCGGGTCAACTCACAGCCTCTCAACTGTGATGGAGGACTCCGAATCAGAACTTTTTCACAAGAGGAGGGAGGCCAACACTGTTCATTCCTTGCAACTGTTAGATTCTTGGGTACTTGGATTAGAGAAGGGAAGCTGCTCAAGTACTGAGCAGTGGGCAGGTGCATACCTCAGACCATCCAGTCCCCCTTGTCAGAATGCTCACCTGCTTCACAGACTGGCAAGATTGTCTGTGGCAGGGAAAAAACAAAGCAAAGGGGCCACTGGGAGATCCTAGTGAGATCCATTGGAACATTCCCATACCAAAGTGGCCCTGGAGCCACTCCAAGAATCCAGTGCTCTGTTCCCATGTGAAGAGACAGAGTAGATAACAATTAGAAAGGCTGTTCACAGAAGCATGGATACAGTATCCTATTTAAAAGGCACCGAGTGTGGGGGAATTCCAGGGTGGGGAGGTAGGAATGGGTGATGGGTGGGGGCACATCCTCATAGAAGCGAGAGGAGGAGGGATGAGATAGGGGGCTCATCGGAAGGGGGAATGGGGTAAGAGGATAACATCTGAAATGTAAATAAAATATCCAATAAAAAAAAAGACAATGCACAGTTATATGCTTGTGTGTGCCCCTGTATGTCAGCTGTGATGAATGTCTTTAAATGTACAGGGGAAAATAAAGGAAACAAAGGAAGACTTCTTTCTAGTTTGCTTTACTGCACAATTTTTTAAAATGGGATTGCAATTTATTGGAGTGACATTGGTTTTGCCCCCCCCTTTAGTCCCCACCCAAGGACATTTGCCAATATGCAGAAATATCTTTGTTTTTCACAACTCAGCAGTTGGGGGTGGGGGCAGTGAGCATCTAGCAAATGCTCTTAAACCTCCCCACCCCCTGTGCATTTGATGAACACTACTCCCCCAAAATTATGAGCCCTCCAAACTAGTAGCACTAAGGTAGGAAACCCTGGTTTATAGAGTAGTTAAGGATAATCTCTCTGCTGACCATTGACTAGGACCTGAAGGAAATGAAAGAGGAAGTCACATTGTGACTGACTGTAACTGCACAAAGAGCTTTCTTGTAGTGGGCAAAGCAAGTTGTAAGAAAAAAGCAATGTACTTGGCTTACAAGAAAAATAGCAAGGCGCTCCATTTTCCTTAACTGAGTCGGCTGGGCAAGAAACAGACAGTGAGGAGAGCACTGGGTCATTGCTTATGAGGAATTCTCTGAGGAGTGTCCAACCTAGAGGAGCATTCTGTGGTCAAAGGACAGCTCTTGTTAGGTCCTTAAAGTTCAGGGAGAAAAGTGTGTCTCAGAGTAGAAGTGTACCAGGCACTGCCATTCAGAAAAAGAAACATGGCGTATTGGTGCTGCCCACTTGATGGTAATGTGACTGACCACTGAAGGTACTGATGACCTTAAGTAGCACTTTCAAGAGGCAGGAATCACAGAAGCCAGAGCCCATGCTGAAGAGACAGATGGAGACCTCCGAGCTAAACTAGAGGTGCTGCAGACTGCCGAGCTACTGTGAAGTTGCTAAAGGAGTCTTGGCTTTGGTTTATTGTAGGGTTTTGGGTTTTGGGTTTTGTTGTTGTTGTTGTTATCGTTTCTTCTTGTTTGTTTGGGGTAGCGGTTTTCTTTCTGTTTTGTATTGAGGGTCTTGTTAGCATGGCGGTGGTGTTTGTTTTGTGAGATGTGGTCTCATTATGTAGCCAAGCTTAGCCTCAAATGTGTGACAATTCTCGTGGCTCAGTCTTCTAAGTATTGGCATTACAAGTGCTCTCCACTATGTCCAGCCTTTCTTGGGGTTTTGAAAGTTAAAAATTTGAGCACTGTTTCAATAAACAAGCTGGGGAGGTAGCTCAGTACTAGAGTGCTGTCTCATATGTGCAAGGTCTTAGGTTCCATGCCCTGCACTGGCAAACAAACAAAAGAGGGACATGGCAATAGAGACTCTGAATATAACCGCAAAACATAGTACTGGGAGGTTGCAGCAGGATGGTCAAGACTAAGGATTACATGGACTACATACGGAATCTGTGTTTCAAACACAAAAAAAAGTTAACAAAAGAAGTATTTCTAGTATCACTGGAAAAGTTTATGCAGGTTGGACTCTGAGGAGTGGTACTCCTGCTTTTCATTAAATAGTAGCATACATAAGTTTTCAAATTATAGACACAAAAAATGCATTTGGTTATGCTTTGTTTGTTTTGGTTTAGTTTAGTTTGCGTGTTTGTGAAACAGGGCTTTGCCGTGTACTCCAGTGATGACTTGAGACTCAAGATCTTTTTGGTTTTGGTGAAAAGCATGAGAAATTGTCAAAATATTAAGAATGAGTTACTTAAAAAGAATCTGATCCTAACTCAAACTGCTTATGAAACACTCAAAATGAGGGGTTTTGTTAAATAGAAGTTGCTTTACTGTCTTTGCTTTGGGTTTTACCAGTTCATAATGGCTGCCTTCTCTGGTGCTATGAAGAGAAAATCATTGTTCCCACCTAGAAGGTGGGAGGGATCCTGGTAGTTTGGTACTAAAAGCTCAAGTAAAGCACCATCCCTCCATTCTAGAAATTGGAAGGTAATCTGGGTAAATTCTACTGAACAACATATGAAAGGCTTTCTATTGAATCTCCTGGGGCAGTAGGCAATATATACAGCCTCTCGTTCTTCATATACGTAAGGTAGCTAAAAAGGGACTGAGGGCTAAGCTCAGTGGTTATAAACAGGCACAAAGCCCCAGCTTTGAAAATAGATTAAATATAGACTGAGCTACTTTCAGAGTTGAGCCTAGGGAGAGGAATCAGAACTTTTGTCTCCCAGTATACAACCACTTACATTTAACTCTCCATTTCCTAGTTGGCTTTCATAAAAAAATAACATATATAGTAAAGCTTTCAAGAAGTTATGTTTCCTTTGAATTTCATAGGTTAAGATGCCATACAGTTGAGAGCAGCAAACCAAACAGTCTCATGCTGAAGGACAGCATTTCTGCCATATCAGATAAAACCAGTGAAGATCTGTACCTGCAAGTAAGTACATGTTCTCCCTCACTGAACACTTGCCAGTGCTAATCAGCACCACAAGGCCATCTGTGCTCCTTTAACTTAATGGAAACTTTTAGCAGAGACACTACCAAAGTTTGTTTTTTTGTTCTGTCCATCTCTTTCTTCCTCTTTTGGTTTTTGTTTTGTTTCCTTTGTGGGACTTAGAGTTTGTTTGTTGGGGTGTCTGTATTTGGTTTGGGGGAGTATTGTTTTTTATTTGTTTTTGTTTGTTTTGAGATTTTGGGGGGAGAGCTTGCTTCTTGAGACTAAGACTCACTTTGAATCCACACTGGCTTAGAACTCCTTGTAATCCTCCTGTATCAGCCTTGTAAGTGCTAGAGTTACAGGTATGAGCCATCACACCTGGCTTGGAAGTGCTCTCTTCTTTATGAGGAGGCCAATCAGAAATGGTAAATGCCAGGTTGCTTTCTTGGCTATTTTACTATAGAATCAGGGCCAAATAGTAAAGCACTATGGTGCTTTGGTGAATTCAAAAGACACCCTCTTGTATAAAAAAAGCACCATCTAATGCATTTCAAATTCAAAGAAACAAAGAGGCTTCTTGCATAGAACTCAGAAGTGGAATGTTTACCACTGAATGTCTGGGTGTGATGTCCAAAAGAAAAGAGAAACCAAAGAGATAAATATCTCAAAGGTGTCTGGACCTCTGGGAAGTGAATACTCTATTCCCATCTCTACTAGAAAATTGGACCTTTTAGAATAGAGCCTCAGGGACATACGTCTCCACCAAACACATCGGATGCCTCCCTTCCATTTCTAGCTCCCAATCTTTCAGAGTAGATGGGCCTCATCCCTTCAGGGTTTAGAGTTCTTATATTCCAGTTTGGCATTCTCATGATTGTTTTATTGATATCAATCTCTCGTCCTTTTTTCCCTATTCAGCTCAATCGTTTACTAGAAAGCAATAGGAAACTCGAAGACCAACTGCAGCGCTCTATCTGGTTCCAACAGCTACTGCTTGCCTTAACAATGGTCTTGCTTGCTTTTGTTGTTTCTTTCTTTTATTCATTATACAATTAAAAAAGTGGCACCTGGTTGAAACCATAAAACTCCTTCAGACATTATCTGGAGAAGGTATACAGACCCCACCCAAGCTTTTCCACCCAGCTACCAGAACTACTATACATCCGGGCTTCCTACAAGGAAATATGCAGCACATAGAAGGGTGCCTATCTAATAAGTTATTTGGCTAGAGAGATGTTCAAGGCATTGATTATTAGAGACTATAGCTAGTTAGGAAACTAAGTAAAGGTATTTGCATTGTATAAATTGATAGCTTAAATGTAATTTATTTTTTCTTTTTGATTTGAATGCTTTCAAAGCAAAGTTTTATCATGTAAATACACTAGGTGAGCTGAAAAGTCTAAGTAATATGCCTTGTTGTAGCCAAAAGAAAATGTAGTCTGCTTTTTTTAAAAAATTACAGAATTACTAGCTGAGTTGACTTATTAGTTTTTCTATACTATGTATGTAAAATATGTATATTAAAAAGGAAGCATACTTAACAGAGTAATTTATGTAATCATGACTTTGTAACTTGGAGAACTACTTCCAGATGATAGTCAATATTCTTTTGGAATGTAAAGCTATTTAATGCCAAACCTCCTTAGCCTTTGTTTCTTGGTGTCACTGAGCACCCTGCCTCTTACTAATCTGGGCTTTTTAATGAATATTCTGTTTTCGATACAATATGAAAAGCTACCTGTGTGGTTGGATTTTCTTTGATTTTTCTTATCAGTGCCCAGAAGGAATGTCTTGGAAAGAGCCTCCCTTTCTAGTCAATTCTATGCAGTTTCATGCCTGTCCAGAAGTTTGGACACTGAACCTTTTGCCTGGTTTATTATAAGGGCCTACTTTTCCATTGTTCCATCTTCACCTTCATTCCAGGGCAAAGGAGTCTCCTCTGTGGACCACAAATTATGCCACCTTCACACTCATTTTTAAATGAAAGGCATTACGTAACATTTTTTGAACATCTGGTTGTTTTAGATGTCCATTACAATAAGTAACCTTGGGTTCCAAATGCTCCTTGTTAAAATTGTTGGTAAGAAGGAAACTTTGAAAAGTATTCATGTATGCAAAGTAAAAGCAAAGCAGAGAGGCTTAGAGAATGGGAACTCTCACTCCCAGTGGCTTCTCTGGCCCACTCAGTACTCTGCATTTGGTATTCTTAGACTCACTCCTATGGTTCCTAAATTCCTACAGAGATACACCTTGCAGAAGCAGAGGCTAATGAAATAGCTTTGTATTATCATTAACATGACCAGTTTCTGTCACTTTAGGTTCAAATCTATGTCTGCCTTTTTAAGGAAGAAAAGTACTCTGCCCAGCAAATGACTATTTAGCCATGTTTGGAGAATTATTCTCAGTAGAGTTGGGCTCTCATCTTGAAGAAGTTGATTCCCAAACCGAGTTTTGAGGAGTAATGTAACGAAGCTCCTTAAAAAGTCGGCTGAGGAATAAAACCTTAAACGGACACTAGTGTGATACTTGGTCTTAATTTGGGTTTTTCTGTTTCAGTTTGCCACCTCCAGATGTGAAACAGACTGCAGTCCACCCTAAGTACTGTGCACAGTATCTATGTCCCTGTATGTTCACAGTGACTTCCCAAGTGGTAGATTTGGGGCCTTAATATAATCTCATCCCAAAGTATCTGTCTATGTTTTTCATTCCTCATCAGATAAACAAGCAATTAATTAGCCAAGATGAGGAATATAATTGTCCTAACAGTGTCCTTTTAATGTTTCATAAGAAAATCATGTCGACACACTAAATTCTCTTCTTGTCTGGTCAGTTGAATTTAGTAACATCTTGTTAGCATTTCTTTGTGGTGAATGTGACTAAAAAGGACTTTGAGAAATTAACATAATGTCAACAGTAACTGAACTCTTCCACTAATCTTGATTAATCTATATAGTTACATTTGATTTTGTCCTGTCTTTATTTGGTTTAATCTAATCATATGTGCATGATTATGTTTGGTATTCTGATCAATAATTTTCTCTTGAATCATGTTGTTGCCTTTTCATGATCAAATTACCAGGGATTTTCATTTTGATTTTTGTTTTCACTCGGGAATGGAAATAAATACATTTTCCATGAAAACATTAATAAAAGATCATTAGCTTGATCTGCAAGTAGCCTAAAATGCAAATGCTGGTTAACCTAGTCTCAAATTTCATAAAACCATAACTTTTATATCTTACCACTAATTTTGACTGGATTTAATAGCACTTTATTGTACAATTATAAAAAATATATTCCTAGAATTGTTGCCAGTGTAATTTCTCTAATGTTCTGGTGCTTTTCATATATTTTCAGTATTTTTATTACTATATTGGTATTTTCTTTGTATAAATTGATCAAAAGAACATGTTTTCTATTTTAATATGTTTTAGAAAATAATTACATTTATGAAATAAATATCATCAGGAAAAAATAAACTTCTTGTCTCTAATTGATAAAGCATAATTTTTAAATCAATGTTCAGACCAACTCTGCCCTTTTAAAGATCATCGTAATTCCGTTTGGATCTGCTTTGTATTTTTATAAGGACAGCACTTCAGGCTTCCAAAGATGAAGCCCTGTGTCAAGAGACCCTGTCCTCAAGTGTGTCCTGTTTCTCCTTGTCATCGTGTTTAGTTTAGGGTGCACCCCAGTGAAGTTCTTAGCATTAAACTCACTCCCTTGGCTTGAGGCTCTTCAGCTCTTCCTGGAACCACATGGTAGCCATGTACCTTGAGTCTTTGTTCCATACACCTTTTTACCTCATGGACCGGCACATCCAGGGATTTTGAAGATAGCAGTCCAGCATTGATTGTTTCCACGGTGATGTGTAGCCTTAGGCAGATGGTGATGGAGGAGCATAAGGGACACACTAGTGACAGAAGAGGCCTTTGAAGCTGATAACATTTGTCCCTTCACTATTAAAAGACATAACTGTCCAACAAAGCAGTACCCTCCTCAGAAAAAAATAAAATGAATAATTGGTTCCCCTACATTGAAAAACAGAGATACAAGATCAAGTAGGAAATGAATCCAATACATGTGGTAAAAGAAAAAGACACAATGGAAGAATGTTAACAGGCAGAATAAAGTGCCAACCTGAGACTGGGTAATCTTTCCTAAAGGAAGGTTTTTACAGGTATCAGGTTACTTGGGGGAAATCACTTAGGGAAGGGTTGATTACAGAAAGCTGCTTTCTCCCTACAATTTTGGTTACCCACTGGAGAGTTCCTGACATTACTGGTCCCATGGGCTATCCCAGATACATAGGATGTTTCCTCCATCGAGAGCCCAAAGAAACTGGCTGGAATTCTTTCTGTTTGTTCCAAGTAACACGGGGTATGCAGAATGTTCTTCATATCTGGGGAAAGGTAGCCCACATATATCTTCTCCCTATTGAGTGATACCTTGCACTTGATAGGTGCAAGAGTGAGAAGTAACACATTTAACCTGTCTACTGAGGCTGGCCTCCCTCTTCCTTCATAGAACTGTTCAGTTTAAGTTCCTGAATATTGCACCACACCGAGAACCAAATATCAATTCTCTAAACTTCCCTGCTTGATATTCCTATCCCTGCACTGGTACCCCAATAAAATCACCAAATCATATCTTAGCCATTTGCATACTGATATTCCTTCCTCTGAATAAACAGTATTGGCTTTTAATGTCCAAAGTCTCATACCTTCCTGACCCCACTCATAGGTCATCGTCTTCTGTGCATGTTAAAACACTTAAAAGATATCTTGGACTGGGAACTTAGCTCAGTCTGAAAATTTGCTTGCCTTTTAAACATGAGAACCTGAATTTGATCCATCCCCAAAGCACACATTAAGAAAGGCAAATAATAATAATAACCCGGGGCATATGGCTGCACACTTGTACTTCAGGCACTAGGGAGGCAGATAGGAGAATCCTGGAGCTCAAAAATGTAGAAATGGTGGCTAGTGCCTGAAGAAAAGCACATGAGATTGTCCTCTGGATCCCATACACACACAAACACACCCCCCAAAAAATTTTTTTCAAGATAATTGGTTTAATTGAGCCAACGAAGGATATGCACATTACAGGGCAGCAATTTGGTCCTTGAAACTCAACAGGTTTTTCATGTTCCTTTCTCCTAATGGCCTGCCTCAGTATATCATAAAATCGTGGGGTTTATGGGTAAGGAAAATACAGAACCTACAAGTCATTCTTTTTCCCAAGATTACATGGCGATGCAACTTCAGAGCCAAGTTGATCTTCCTTCCCTCTTGTAATTTCTGTTGAAAACAGCCAAGGCTGCCCCGTCTGAGAAACGGGTTACAATGTAGAACGGGTGGATCCAACACAGCCTTACCTCCACTAAACAGTGTGAGAAGAAAAAGAGGATGAACACAAAAGGCCCAAAGAAAAACAGGTGATAGAATATCTGAAAAACTGATTTCATGGGGATGGAGAGATGACTCTGGCTAAGAGCACTTGCTGAGTAAGTATGAGGACCAGAGTTTGGATCCCAGCACCTATTTTAAAAGCAAGGTGCGGTCAACCCTGTAAGTACAGCGCTGGGAGAGTGTCACAGAATAGGAGGATGGGGCTTGCTGGCCATCAGCCTAGCTCCACATTCCCTTAGTTAACCCTATTTCAAAGGAATGAGGCCAAGAGAAACAGAGCAGGACCCTCAAAATTTCCTGGCCTACTTGATTTACATGTGCACATATACCATACACACACACACACACCATACTCTGGGACATGAGTGTGTGCATGCACGTGCACTCCCCCTCCCAACACATACACACACACACACAGAGAGAGTGTGAGATTTTTAGTTTTCTAAGCTACAAACAGACTGTTCTAGGGTTCCTCTGTTCTTATCTTCTTGAGTCCAATCAAGAGCCATAGACAATAGAAACATATGTTTAGTAAAGCTAAGCAAAGTAAATACTCCAGAGATTCGAGTGGGCTGCTCCCTGCCTGAGGGCAGCCCAGTGGGTTCTACAGTATGAATTTTAAAGGGATTCATATAAATGTTTTTAAGTAGGTGGCATACTCATGGAATAAGGGGATCCCCCCTTTCCTCTTCTATTAGGATGGACTGAAGATCCTTTTCGAGGTATTCTCATAGAAAAAGCCACAAACAGGGAAGAGGTAGCCAAACAAGTTTTTAAAGATGTCAGATTGTTTTGAGGCTGCAGTCCATTCATTAGTGCACATGTATGGGAGAGTCCCAGGGTGCTTTAGTCTGATTTGCTGGTGACAGAGGGCTTTACTGTCAGCTCCTAGAAGTTACTATGCTCAGGTCTTTATTCTGTAGACCACCACAGTGGAGCTGCCCTCTCTTGAAACTTCTACTTTCCAAAAGGACCCAGTTCCCTTTTAAAGGTCTGCCTAATTAGGTCATGCCTACCCAGGGCAATCTCCTTCTGTGGTAACTCAAAAATAAAACAATTCTTTTGGACCCTCAATTAAGTCTATGAACTCTGCCATTTAGCTTAACTTAATCAGGAGAGTGATGTAACATTACATTCTCAAGCCCCACTCTACTACAGGCAAGTAGACAGTTCAGAGAAGGGCTGTGTTGGGTAGGACCTGAAACTGTTCCCAATTCTGTATTCTAGGAAATAGGGTCAGAGCTCAACCTTGTCTTCTGTGATGGATGGATTTGAAGTCACAGATGTTCCTCACATGAAAGAACATCGACTAGAGAACTTCAGATAGGCACCAAGTGGTAGGCTCTGGAATATTCTATCTCTGGCCTAGCTTCAGTCCACACAAGTGAACTTTCTGTGACTCCAAATCTTAAGAAAAAGCACACCCCCTGCCTTAAACATTGATTCTGTCATAACAACTCTCAAAAAAAAAAAAAAAGATTCTGACAATGAGTTGTTTTGCTAGGACAAAAGGCACTTCCAGTAATTGTGTACTTTTCTAAATGACACTAGTAAAATGAACTCACCTTTTGGAAGAATCCGTCCACTTCAATGGGTTTCTTTAGAGTTATTTTTCTTAGACATAAGGATTCTCTATGAAAAGAACTAAATGTTTAAACTATAAAATGGGTGGACCTGCATGCAATTTCTAACATTGTCAAAACTGTCCAATTTCTTTTGAAACAAATTCTAATTCCTTAAAAGCTCTCCCCGTTCCCACACACTCAAATCCTCTCTGCATTTCAAGTAGTTCTCAAGCCACGTGTGCATGTTCAAAATCATACTGATTTCCTAATTCATTTTAGAATTTGTATGTGTGCAACTTTCTGACTGTGATAAAAATCTCCAGACCTGTGAGTGTCCCTTTTCTAGCTAGAGCTGGGATTACAACAAACTACGAAGTAAGTTGTATTTTCCTATTGCAATAGCAATGCAGACAATGGAAGCATAACTTGTGATGTTTCATACTGTGACATGGAATGGTTTGTATGATGTGTTATATTAAGAATATGTGATTCTGTTCAGCTGGGGATGGAGAACTGGACGTGATTAACATAAGACC